GGTTCGGGTGCTGGTGTCACCAATTTACTTTGCAGCGTATGCATATCCGCTATATGGATTCCAACTCCTGGAATTCCCATTGTGCTGTGTGTAGTGGACAGAGTGCCTGGACTAGGACTCTGGAGAATAGGGGTTGAATCCTCACTTGGCCAAGAAAACTCACTGGCCGGTAAAACCGGTCCTTAAATATCACTTACACTGAGAGCCCTATTAGGATCGCTACAAGTAGACTTTGTCTAAAACGGCGGGATAGAAATCTAATAAGTAAAATATAAGTTCCAACTTGATAACACCCGCACACCCTTTATCCTAATGTCTTACAAGTGGATTCTGGCAGGGTTTTTTTTAAGCTCCTCTAGGGAAGTGTGTGTGCACTGTATTATATTTATACTGATACTTTTCGTGTTTTATTGCCCCACGTCTGTTGTATCAGGGAACTAGTGTTCTCAAAGAGGGTGTGTCCTCTTTGACTTACAGTATATGGTCATCTGGCCATCAGAAGTGAATTTTGATCCTAGGTTGTTCTTCTGCCTGCCCAATGGTGAATTTCCCTCTGTTTTGAGAGCTTTTCAACCATATGCTACCTTGGAACTAAACAAGTGTAGCACTAAAGCTGTATAATGATTTTTTTAAAAATATAGCGGTGTCATTTGGGACAGTGAAGTGATGCACTGCAGGTACAGAAAGGAATATTGCCGCCAGTGATGTGGGGTCTTTAAGTTTCACAAGCTTTTCAGCCATACTGAACTTTAGCATTAAACCAGTATCATCATTTTTACAAATACAATTTTACCATCAGTGTCACTCAGAGAGGACTGCAATAGTATATGTTTGTCAGCAATTTATCACTAGAGATCAGGTATCCATATATGAATACGAATACTGTATCCTTGTCCCAGATGGACCTAATGAGGGTCCAGCCCCCAGGACCTGACTGTCCACTCATGCATTCTGCACAGCAAAGGTCCTACTTGTCCTGTAAATGTCACATGGAGCTCCACTGTCTCTCTGCTTGGCTGGCCACTCCAGACAGGGACCAGGAGGAACCATTCCCATCTGAAAAAACATCTGAAACTTCTGTTATACAAGGATAAACATATTATTGTTCCATCTACTACTGTATCTTGCTTTGGAGTTGCTTGATGCCTAAAGACTTCTTATTTATCATATATGTTTTTCTTGTAACCCATCCTTTCCATGTTGTTGTTGATTTGACTTATATGCTACCCCATAATGCTAAAGCACTGTCTGGGCGATTACAACATACTGTATGTATGCAAACCCTCACCATGAGCTGGGAACTCATTTTACCAGCTTGGAAGGATGGAAGGCTGAGTCAACCATGAGCCAGCTAACTGAACATGTGTATGCAAAAACAAGTCCCAATTAATAATAGAATCATAGAAAAGTGAAGTTGAAAGGGGCCATCAAGTCCAATCCGAGGCTCAACACAGGTATACAATCAAAGCAGATATGCCAGGTGATTCTCCAAGTTTTTCTTGAATGCCTCCAGTGTTGGAGCACTCCCCAACTCCCAAGGTAACTGGTTCCACTGTTGTACTGCTCTAACAGGAAGTTTTTCCTGATATTCAACCAAAATCTGGCTTCCTTTAACTTGAGCCCATTGTTGCGTGTCCTGCACTCTGGGATGATCAAGAATAGATCTTGCCCCTCCTCTGTATGACATACTTTCAGATATTTGAAAAGTGCTATCATATCACCCCTCACCCTTTTCTCAAGGCTAAACATGCCCAGTTTTTTCAATCTTTCCTCATAGAGCTTGGTTGCCAGCCCTCTGATCATCCTTGTCACCCTCCTCTGAACTGGTTCCAATTTGTTAGCATCCTTCTTGATGAACTGAACACAAGACTCAAGGTGAGGCCTAACCAGTGCTGAATAGAGGTGGACCAACACCTCGTGGGATTTAGAAACTACATCTATTAATGCAGCTTAAAATAGCATATGCCTTTTTGTAGCCACATCACACTGTTGGCCCATATTTAGCTTGTGATCTATAACAATTCCAAGGTCCTTCTCGCTTGTACTTTTGTTGGACCAGGTATCCCCCATCTTGTAACTGTGCAATTGGTTTCTTTTTCTGAGGTGCAGCACTTTGCACTTATCCCTGTTGAATTTCATTCTGTTGCTTTTGGCCCAGTGCTCCATCCTTTCAAGGTCATTTTGAATTTTGCTTCAGTCGTCTAGGATATTAGCTATTCTGCCCAATTTGGTATCATTTGCAAATTTGACAAGCATTCCCTCCACTCCCTCATCAAAGTCATTAATAAAAATATTGAAGAGCACTAGACCCAAGACGGAGCCTTGGGGTATCCCACTTGTTACCTCCTCCCAGTTAGAGTATGACTCTGTAGCCAATTGTGTATCCACAAAACTAGAAATAATACCATAAAATCCAGATCTGTTTACGGAGACTCTGCTTGAGACATAATAAAAATTGAGAGCACTTTTACTAACCAGTTCATTGATCTCCATAAGATATTGTTGGTCTGTAATTCCCATCATTCTGGACCATTAACCATGCTGCCTTGGATTCATGCGAACTAATATCCAACAGTATTTGGTGGAGCTCAGGTTATTCTTCTTCTAGGCTTTCCACAGTGCCCTTCCAGGAGGAATAGTGAGAGGTACTGGCTGCTATTCTTCTTTTTTAAAACTTTCTCTTTGAATCAAACTATTCAAGGCCATCAAATTTTAGGTATATTTTGGATGTTTATTAGCTTTCAAATTCGGAATGAAGGAATAGAATTCAAAAACTGGAATGCTTAGTAAATTGATTAATTTATTTTGCCTTACTTAGACTTGTGTTTAAATCAATTCTCCAAAAATAACAATGTAATTTCAGTGGTACTGATTTCATAAAATCTTCTAAAACCTAACCATAATTATGGTGCCTAAAGTAAAGATTCAGATATAGTAGGATGACGTCACAGTATGTTGACATCATAAAAGCCTCAACACAATATTCTAGAAAAGCTTGTAAAGTGTGTCAGTTAAGATACAGGGGATAAACATACTAGTCTAGCAGTACCAACTTAGTAAGACATTCAGACCACCTGGTAGAAAGCTAAGTTGAAGAATGAGAACTTTGCCCCTTTTCCAAAGGTCTGATTTTGTGGTCTAATTTTTCAGAAAATGCAGCACAAACTGAAAGAAGAGCAAAGGAACGTCTGATTCAAACTAATACTTTTAAACAGCATTCTGGATCACTTGGATATATACTGTACAAGCAAGGAGGGATATAATGTAACTCTGCAGAATACTCCTACTATGAGACTAATTTTAATTTGATAAAATAATTTCATTTTGCTCAGGTAAGTCTAATTTCCTTTGAAGGTACTCTTGCTCAAAGAAACTGCCTGTCTGCCCCAGAATGGGATTTAGGTTTTAAACTTCAGAACTGAAGCGTTCATATTCACACATTAAACATAAATTAAGAATTTACAAGGAGCTGAGGGCTTGTCTACACTAACTCTTTTGAAGTGGGCTATTGCAGGATAAATCAGTTTGTCTGGGGTCAGTCAGACATCCAGTATGCCGTTTGGTGTAATCCTTGCATCCAGACACCACATGCAGCTCAAGCTACCCTATTTGGTCCACCTCCCTCTGCTGTCAGTTTCCCATATAATGATGTGGCCTTAGAAGACTGTCACTTCACAACATTGGTAAATTAAACACACCAAAGAAGTCCCCCTCATTGCTCTCTTCCATCTCCTCCCGCTTCCTGGTAGAAATTTTTAATTAAAAAAATTAAGTGATGCGGTGTATCAGTACTGCGCTAATACACCGTAAGAAATTACTGCCTCTGCCCCTTCATGGAGCATAAGAACTGTTTAATTTGCCAATATCCTAAAGTAGCTCTCTTCTTAAACCACTTCATGACTTGGGAAACTGAAAATGGAAGGCAATTTGATAGCCACAAGCTCACTTTGGTTTGTTTCCAGCAATCACATGCACTGGAAATGAATCAAAATGGAGCAATTGTACCCACACCAAAAATATAGAAGTCATTGAAGGTACAGAGAAAGGCGCAGGTAGGAATGCTCCAGGGGGTGGGTGCTGATTTTTCTGGTCACCAGAAAAAAGGAGCAAACAAGCCCATCCCTGCAGTGGACAAAGCAGCAGGACAAATGCCTATCTGATTGCACCATGAAATATTTGGTTCAAATAATCCAGAACTAACATTAGAGACAGCTCTCCTTTCTCACTACACATATCTATATAGGCATACTGGAAAAGACAGGGAAACACCTTCAGTTTAAAGTAAGAAGTTACAGTATAGTTGAAAATAATTCTTCAAAACCAAACAAATGCAGGCCATAGATGAATTCCCATTTCTCCATGCATGAGATGCATGTGACAAGACACTGATGTACCCCTTCTGTAATTTAACTTCTACCATTGGTAAACAGTACAGCATTACCCTGCTGGGTACTCTGCTCCCTGGGCATTGCATAAAGACACCCTTTATGCAAGAGGGGGAACAATAGTTTTGCAAGTGTTCATATCCACAAACAATAAGAATACAGAACAGTCCTATTCATTTATACATAATATTTACTAGTCCTGTCTGATTGACCCATATTTGGGGAAATGAGCCACACTGTGCCTACGAATGGCAGGCTTGTATCTTTGAAAAGGGACGTGGTGGCGCTGTGGGTTGAACCGCGGAGGCCTTTGTGCTGCAAGGTCAGAAGACCTGCAGTCGTAAGATCGTATCCACGCAACGGAGTAAGCTCCCGTCGCTTGTCCCAGCTCCTGCCAACCTAGCAATTTGAAAACATGTAAAAATGTGAGTAGATAAATAGGTACCACTATAATGGGAAGGTAATGGTGTTCCGTGTCTAGTTGTGCTGGCCATGCAACCACAGAAATTGTCCACGGACAAACGCTGGCTCTATGGCTTGGAGATGAGCACCGTGCCCTAGAGTTGGACACAACTTGACTAAAATGTCAAGGGGAACCTTTACCTTTTTATTTTTTTTAAAAAAGAAAAGATCTCATCAGGCGATGCCTGGAACAAAAAAAATCAAAAACTGGTGAGTCAGGGCACCACCACCAAAGCAGGAGCCCACCCCTTTATTTATATATTGATGGCCCTAGAAAACAAAACAAAAAATACCCCAATTGGGTTATATGTAGCCCTGCATGGAGATCACTTTTGGTTTATTTAAAATATTTTTACTCTTCCTTTCTCCTTAAAAAGTAATCCAAGACTGCTTGCTTACATTCATAGAAGATAATGATAATGTCTTGTCTTAACTGCAGCACACGTGACATGGGGGAGTATTGCACAGACCTATGCTGTGGCTGTGGCTTATGGAAAGCTCACTGGTACCCAAAAGGGAGCAGGAACAGCTAGAAATGGGTGTCAGGCTTTAAAGTCACCAGACATACTCAATTCAAACCTCAAGTGCCACTTATCTTGTTTCTCTAATTCTGCAAGAGTCCTCTTGTGCCCTGATACCTGGGGTCTATCCCTGTCCCAAGCCTTCAAAACCAAGATTAAAACAACAACGATGCAGTGAACCGTATGTAGAAAGATAACTTACTGTAATTCATATATACTGGAATGTTTACCAATCATGCAAAGAGTTACGAGGTTAATAATGTTTATAAGATCTATTTGTATAGTATGGAATACAAATAATTCAAAACAAGAAACCAAAATGGAAAAAAAAGAGAAACAATCTGAAAATCAACTGTAAAGATTCAGAGTTATTTAGCACACATTAAAAAAAATCATTGTAATGGTACTAAAAATCCACAGTTCGCTGGAGAAAGGGAACAATCCTGAGAATACCACATAACACAAAATAACATTTCCTTATAAGGTGTGTAGCACTAGCTAACTGCCAAAGAGAGGTGACGAATTTCAAACTGTGGTTTTCAAATGAAGACACATACCAGAAACATCCACAAACCGAATACATGCTACTGGATCTCATCCAATAATAACTGAGGGAGGAAAAAATGACTGGAAAATGATTCCATTACAAAATGAATGCTTTGTACCTGTATCTCTTTACAAGCATTTGTTGAAACATGTTTGAGCTAATTTAACTACTGTGTAACAAAAATAGTTTTGCAATGCAGCCACATACAGTTTTGTTTTTTTTGCCATCTTAAACATTCTGTAAACAAAAAAAAATCTAAAATGCACAATTGGACTACTTGAAGTAGAGAGTAAATGTGACAAGATGCCATCATGGCCTCTAAATTGTCATTTGAAAGCCAGAACAATTTACTAAAATTAACTGGCTCTTTGAAGGAAAGTAAGTTAAATAATTGTGAGGATATGAATAAGCATGAAACCAACAGTCTGTTTTATACACACATTCTTCTAATAACAATGTAAATCTACAACTCATATGCTATTGAAGCAAACTTGGGAGAACAGCTCTTGCACTCATTTCTGCATTGGGGCAGCTTTGTTTAATTTTCCAAAATATGAATCAGTGGAAATGAAATGAAATATATTTAATAGCCTCAGAAAAATACTGGCTTTTGACTCATTTCTTTTTATTCCAGGATGAGACATCATGTAGTAAATATTGTTAACTTTGTTAACTTAGGGCTGGATAGCTAGCCGTCCTGATTCTAGGACTACAGCTTCCATAATTCTTTACTATTCTGGATGCTATGACTTCTGGGAGCTGTTGCCCAAAACATTTGGCAAGCTACAGCTGACCCACTTCTGATCCAGCAAGATCTCACAATTTTGGAACATAATAGATTCATGCATGGCCCCAGCAATTGAGACAATTTATTTATAAGTACTGTATTATCTCAAAATAACAATTCCTTACTCTCCATTAGACCACCAAGCCCTCAAAATGAGCTCTTGTAAATTGCAGTAAAGCCAACAGCTTCTGCTGTAACAAGTAATGCAACATTACAGAGCTGTAATTCTTTGCATGTATTCTTGGGATTTGTGACTTACTTCTGTATACATAAAATTGGCCTATGCACCTGATGAGTATTGACAGGTTTACTAGGAAACTCTTGAAAGGACCAAGCTAGATATCAACCATTCATTTTTAAACCCAGGCCTTCATCTCTGAAGCAACAAAAGCTTTTAAAATAAAAGAATAGATGGGTGTGCTAAATGCAATCATTGTTGTTGGTGAGTTCCTTTGCCCACTGCTCACCACCCCCTTGGGTTGATAAGCAATGAATAGCTGTCTTTTTCCATATACAGAGAGGCATGTAATTCCATGTGTTGTTATCCTTCTGCCCTGTCAAGACAGTACAGTATTGATTTATAGGGCCCTAATAGGGCTTTAAAGGTGAGATTTTTAAGGAGTAGTTGTATCAGTTCCACACACCCCAGTGAGTTTCCATGGCTTCGAACCCAGGCCTCCTGAGTGTTAGTCCAATACACCACACTGGTTTTCCCCATGTAATTCCATATCACTCTCTTATATGGAGGAAGGCTAAGCTAATGTTGGAGGAGGGTAGAGCTTGAAAAATTTGCTATTTTTCATCCTGATGCACCTACTTTCAAGATATGAGAAAAAAGTAGGGGAGAAGAATCATGTATTTCAGCTGAGTGCACTGATAAAAATACAATGTAACAACTAAATTAGGTTGGAGTTCATGTATGATTTGTAGAGTTTCCCACAGATAATTGCAACAAACTGACAGTGGGCCAGAGCATATTTATTTATGTCATTAATTTGTATACTGCCCAATTAGGGCAGAGCACTGATCTGAGCAGTTTACATCAAAGGGAAACAAACACAATGATGTAATCACGAAATAAAACAAATCACTGAGATAAAAGCAAATAGTCAAATTAATCAGAAGTTAATACATCTAAGTGTAAAACTAAGCAAACCCAGATAATGGGAAGACCGTGGCATAAATATAACAAAACATTAAAAGAGGATGCCCTTAAAAGCTTCATTGAACAGCCTAGTTTTGAGCATCCTCTTAAAGGCTGGGAGGGAGGAGGCCAGGTGCAGCTCTACTGGGAGCCCATTCCATAGGGATCGTGCCACAAATGAGAAGGCCCTGTTTCTTGTAGATTTTTTCTTGCCTCTCAGTGTGGCAACCCATAAGAACATTGCCTGTGGGGACGGGGTGGTGCAGGGTGATGTTCTTAAGGAAATACATTCTCATGTGACTACACACCATCCAAGCAGGTGTAGCACTTTGTCAGTATGCTGTAGCAAGTTATGCAAAGCTTTCATGAACACCTGTATTACAGTATGGCTAATGTAAATAATAAATAAATTGAAATCTATATTGCCCAAGCAAATTTCAAAAATATGAACTGATAATATCTGGTGCTTTCCTTCTCTTTAGGTCCTTTATCCATGCCTTTGAGGCTTCCTAAGCACAAAGCAGCTTCTAAAAGGAAAAAAGGTATCTATGATAGACTGATAACACAACACTTGAATCATCTAGGGTCAAGACTGCAAAAGACTGTAACATACACAAGACTATCAATGGCCAAAATCCTGTTGCTTAGTGAAGTATATCACACTAGAGTAAGCCCATTAGGTCAGTGGGGATTTAGTGAATCAACTCCTCTATAACTTTGACTCAAGTAAGCCTACTCCAACTGCAGTTCACTATGCTAAAGTAAGTAGCAGTTTTGAGCAGACCCGCTGAATCTGTGGCACTATCTCACTAAATATTGATTCAATGGGCATACTCTGATCTGACGCAATTTAATACTAAGCAACAGGATCTTGGCTGTTACGTAGAACAAGTCTGTCAGTGTAAGCTTAAAGTAGTTGGTTCATAGGTTTTATACATATTAATAAACTAGTTCCTGGTATACAAAGTACAGTACTTTTTTTTTTTAACGGAGGGGATGTCGTAGATCAGGGGTCTCAAACATGCGGCGGCTTCCGCAGGCTCTTGCTCCGCTTGGCGGAAAATATAATGTGGCCCAGCCTCACCCAGACTCTGCCTCCAGTGGCCCCCAGGTAAATTGAGTTTGAGACCCCCTGTCGTAGATCTTTTATAGTACTCGCAGATCTGGGAACAGAAATCATCTACTGGGGCTGGGAGCCATTGACTTTCCAGCTCTGGTTGGAATCCAACCCCAATGAGGCCCCACCAGTAGGACTTCAAGGGTGGGCAACGGTAATTATAGTTCAACAATATCAGGAGTCGGGGTTTTCTGAAACTTGAAGTCGAAAATATCTGGAGGGCCAAAACGCTCCCACCTCTAGGGCGCTCCACAAATTTCTTCCGGCGGCTGGGCTGCCCGAGCACAAACTCGACTGGTGGTGGGTGGCGTCTACGCTCATAATCGCTTCTGGCCTTGCCCCCCCCTTCCCTCCCTCGCTTTCTTCCAGAGCCTGGGTTGTCCGTACCGGCTTTCCGTCCTCGAGACTACAAGTCCCAATACAGTATCTCGCCACGTTCGCGCGCTGCCTCGTCGGCGGGGAAAGCCCCCCCCCAGTAACGACTGAATCACGCCCCCCTTTGCGCAACCGCAAAGCCCCGAGGTTTCCTTTTCCGACGGGGAGGGGGGCCGTGCTTGGAATGCGGGGAGGAGGGGGGCGGTGTCCTAGCAACGGGGCAGAGGCGCTC